AGACTTAAATCTAACAACTTTGCTCTATTCAAACTAACCAAACCCACTTTTTGCATTATGATCAATTTTGCAACAGAAATGAGGTAAAACAAATAAATAAGCCCAACATAAAAATGCCTCATTAGCCCCATGCCACAGTCTAAAGCCAACCCAACCAATATAATAGACCTATTTCCGTCATAAAATGAAACAAAACAAAACCCAATAAACAAAAAAACAAAACATACGAAACGAAATGGGAAACAGAAACGTAACAAACTCAATTCAAACATGAGTTTGCGAAACTTCATCAAGAGCTCCGGCCAGATGGCCGTAGTCTTCCCCGGAAAAAAAAATTCAAAGACTTTTAACATTAAATTTTGACATGAACATGATCCTTACAACATCATGGAGTATCTAAAACATCAAACAAGATCCAAATCAACACAAAACCAATCAAAATTAAATTTAAAGTCCAAGAACAAACCCCAAACTTCACAACATATCCCACATCAAACTTCTAGGCAAAACCCTCATGCAAGTCATGTTTCATGTCTAGAACTCCATCCAAATGTATAAACAAGAAATACACAGATTTTACTGATGCTCAAGGGCTAAAATATTAAAAAAAAATTTAGATCATAACTATCCAAAAGAGTTTTCATCATCCCTGGTCCTTAAAGTGACAAAACATGAAAAGGAAACCTCCCAAGATGCATCCAAATGGAAAAAGATATAAAGACCAAAGTTTGAGAGCTTCTACCTAGATGTACTAGTAAAAAAATGGTGCCAAAATGAACGAATCATGAAGCTAAGAAAAAGCTGAATCCAAGCCTCCAACGTAGGCACCAGGGCTGATTTTCCCCCAAATTTGATGTCAAATTTATGAGTTTATAGCTATCTTCTTAGGAAATTTTCAACACAAAAGTTCTTCTACTACATTTATGGGGTATGTAGGAAAAACAATCTCTCAAAATAGAGCTTAAAAAAGAGAAAAGGTGTTCAAACAGGATTGGTTGGTCAGCTCTATTTTTGTGGTTTGCTGGATTAAAAATTTCTCTCTTTTCCTTTGCTTCTCTCTCCAGCAGCTGAAACCAGCAAACTCCTATTTCTCCGCCGTAAAACTCTCTAAAGATGGTATTTATATGAACCCATGTTAAGAAACAAAACCCTAAAACCTATAAATGATGGTTAGAATGAAGAATGGGATGATGCGTTCCTTTTTCCTTCCTTTGATGAATTTTTGTTAAGTTTAAAGGATAAGATTCGATATGGGGAGTTGCCTTTGTACCAACAAAACTTGGGAAAAAAAGAAAGAATGAAAAAAAAGCGAAAAAAGAAAGAAAAATCAAGAAGAAAATGCCATAATGTTTCCAGTACATGCTTCGTATTGGTTTGCGAAATGGAGGGGAAATGGCGCGTGCAAGGCTCCAGCAATTTTCTTTTTTTTGGAAAGAAGAGAAATGTGTCAATTGGGCGTTGTTCCTTTAGGCTTTCCTTCTTTTCTTTATTTTCTTTTACATGGGTTTTTCGCTTGTGCTTTATTTGGGTTTTGAGTGGGTTTTTTTTTGGGGTTTAGGAATTGGGTTTGGGGTTCAAAGAAAAAATGAGTTATTTCCTTGATTTTTTTTTCTTTATTGCACAAACCTACAAAACAAAACTAAAATGATTACTTAAGTAATTTTTATTGAAAATAAGCAAAAATAAAATAAAGATAATAGTAAACTTAAGATCAAGAAAAATATGGTGTCTACACCCTGACCCTACGTTTTGAGATCTTAATCTTAATCACTAGAATGAGATCTCAATGTTAGCTACCAAAATAAGATCTCCTTGACAAGCAATTAAATATTTTGTTTTTAATTTTTTCCAACAAGGAAAGGGTGGGACATAATAAATGGTGAGGGACAGAGGAATTAGAAGCTAGGTGGTCAGTACCTCTAATACGTGAAATCTCAAGCTTAGCTACTAAATCAATCTTAACCATTAGACAATTCATCATTGGGAAGCAATTAAATACTTAACTAGCTTATATGTCAAATTTTACCATTCTTGCTAGTGTCACTTTATTTCATAAAATTGAAGGTCATACTGTCTTTTTTTTTCTAAATTTGTTTTTTTTTAATAGAGAAAAGGTGTGATTTTGAGAAACAGAAAGGGACAGAGGCATTGATGAATTTTCAATTTTATGATGAACTTTGAAATTTTTCTACAAAAGGGGCATTTTAAATATGGAATTCTGTCAAGAGGATTTTTGCATTTGTCAAATGCGAACTCGGTGAGTTCACATCTGACAAATGCGATGTCTTACTAAATTTTTCAGACTCACAAAATCCAATAAAAAAAGCGAGGTCTAACCTCGCATTCCACAAATGCAAGGTCACCTACATGCAAGTTTTATATTATATATCTTCTTTCAATCACTGTTACAAGATTGAAGTAACATAAAAAAATTTCAAAATGCGAAAGTCTAATGTAGTTTATTTTTTTATTTTTATTTATTTCAATACGAGTGCTGCAAATTGGTTTTTCCTTTAGTTTATAGATAGCACCAAAGAAATTGAAGATCAAGAACTTGAACAATGTAAATTATTTTTCTTTTTCATCATCCATTTAAATCCAAGCTTCATAATAGGTTCATCCTTTATAGATAGAAACAAAGAAATGAAGAAATACAGCATTCGTTCGATCAGATTCCAACATACTATTTTCTTGTACTATCATATGAGGAATCGAAGACAATCCATTCAAGCATTATGTAAACTCCAAAAATCTATGTTTCATCTCTTCATTAGGCAAACATATTACAGTCAAACAATAACTAGAACTTAGCACGTACAGTTGAAAGCAATACAGTTATATAAATTAGTATTACGAGAAGGGTGAAAAACTATCTCTGTGCGGCTAGGGTTTCTCTCCTAGAACTCCATCTTCTTGCCGTTGGTGCCTTGCATGGCGGCCCTTCAGCCTTCGGCTGAGGGACAAGGAACATCCCCTTCCGCAAGGAAGTCATTCTCACAGTTGTTCTCCCAGCCTTCGTCATCACCGATACAGCTACGGCCTGTGACAACATACAAAGATGAGGCTGCCGTCATATTTTCCAAGGAGGATGCAGACAGGTTGGCAGCACCGTTTCGCTGGGCTTTGGTGGGGAAGTTTTCGCATGGTCGGCCAACATTGGAGGACATCCGGAAGTTCTTTGCTTCACCGAATTTGAGAGACCATGTTTCGGTTGGTTTGATGGACTATCGCCATATGCTTATCAAGTGCACGGCTGAGATGGATTTCAATAGACTATGGACACGAGGGATTTGGCAATTAGGTAGATTTCCAATGCGTGTGTTTCGCTGGACAAGGGATTTCCATGTTCAGAAGGAATCATCTCTGGCTCCAGTTTGGGTGACCTTACCAGCTTTGCCGATACACTATTTTGATAAACACTCATTATTTTCCATCCTTTCTCCAGTTGGGAAGCCATTGTTCTTGAATGCGGCAACGTCGGCAGGCACACGGCCAAGTGTGGCCAGGGTATGTGTGGAAGTGGATTTGGTGAAGCCAATCCGCTCGCGGTTTGGGTGGCAGTGGAGGGTGAGACTGGATTTTGGCAGCAGATCGTCATTGATGATTTGTCTTCGTATTGCTCAAAGTGTTGGCGGTTGGGACATTCTGTTGGTGATTGCAAAAGGAACGCTGAGGAATTTGCTGCTTCTCGGGTACCCAAACGACATACGGTGGCGTCACATGCTACCCATGCTACCGCTGCCGCTAAGACGAAGGTGGAGGTCTCTGCAAAGGAGACCCATGCACCTTCAAACTTACCGAAGGGGGTTCTGTTAGCTGCGACGGAGGAAGCAGGGATGTGTCAAGAGCTTAAGCTTGAAGGGGAATTGCAGCAAAAACCTGCTGGTGCGGTGGAGTGTGCTGCTCAACCTGCTGGTACGGCTCAACTTGCGGGTGCTGGTGCGGCTCATCCTGTCGCACACTTCGCGGAGGAATTGCATCAGATTGGGGCGGCGGAGTGTGTGGCTCATGGTGCACGACAGGGAGCTGGGCAGCCTGTTGCCATGGGCAGCACTGCGAGTGCAAGTGCTGGGTCAGATGTCCTGGTGTGTGGGGTGAAGGGTGCTGTAGATGGGAGTCTAAACCTTGAGCTTGACAAGGCGCCAGAACAGGGAATTGGGCAGCAGCTATTGCAACCTGTACAGTGGGAGATTGGTGATGGGCAGCCTGCTCAACTCCCGGATAACAGCATGGACAGAATTGATGGGCATGGTTCGTAGCTTGATAGGGAGGATGGTGTGGCGGAGGGGGAGATTGCGGAGGTGTATGTTGAGCTGCCTCTCGTGGCGGGCAACTTATCTCCGCGGATGATTGTGAGATAGGCAAATATAGCGGAGTCATCGGTCCAGGCTTTAAACATAGATAAGGTCATTAATGGTGTGCAAGGCATCAAGCAAGGGCGAGGGAAAGGTGTCCGTGCGCGCTTCCCTTCTGATAGACAGTTGCGGTCTGCAACACCAACCTATAACTCCTTTCGGGTTTTGCCTTATAATTAACGCAATTTTCTGAAATATTCGAGAGGTTTCCAAATTCCCAAATCTTAGAAGACTGATAAAATTAATACGGATGTATGGGGTTAAGTTTGTTGTTATTTGTGAGCCTAAAACTGACGTGTCTAAAATTGATTTCATTCGTATGCGTCTAGCATTTGATTCAGTTATTACAAATTTGTCGGACGACATTTGGGTTTGTTATTGTGCTCCTTTCAGTTGCTCAGTTGTAGGTAACTCAAGTCAACATATTTCCCTATCTATTCAGCATCCCTTGCTTCCTGGTCCTGTTATCTTCTCATTTGTTCATGCCAAATGTTCTTTGGACGAGCAAAGAGAACTATGGCAGAATCTTCTGGCTGACAATCCTAGATCCCTTCCATGGTGTATTGGAGGGGACTTTAATGTCATTATGGCCCCCATGAAAAGCTTGGAGAGCGACCGATTGGTGTTCAGGAGGGGGTAGAGCTTATGTCTTTTATGGAGGCGACTGGCATTTTTGACGTGGATTTTTCAGGAGCCAACTTTACGTGGTGCAGCAATAGGAGGGGCAGAGCTAGAATTTGGAAGCGATTGGATAGAGTGCTAATCAATGGGGAGTGCGCTGAGGTTTCTTCCAACGTATCTGTTGAGCATTTAGCAAGACATCCGTCAGATCATGCACTTCTACGGATATCTTTTGCTACTCGTTTAGACAACAAACCGAGGCCGTTTCAGTTCTTGAATGTTTGGACGTCTAAGACAGACTTGTTGGAAGTAATTAGAGGAGCTTGGGATAGGCCGGTGAATGGAGCCCCATTACGTGTCTTGTGCTTAAAACTAATGGTGACAAGAAGGGCTATCCAAGAGTGGAACAAGCACATTTTTGGCAATATTTTTGATGCGGTTCGGGTGGCAAAAGCTGAGGTTCGCAGGGTAGAAATAGAGGTGAAGGGCAATGACTCTGAGGTGGCGCAAGCTAGACTTCATAAGGCCCAGGCAGACCTAAGCCAGGCACTACTCATTGAGGAGCAATTTTGGAGTCAAAAAAGCCCGAGTGAGGTGGCTCCATAGTGGGGATCGGAATTCCAAGTTTTTTCATACGGTGGTGAAGCAAAGAAGGGTTCAGAGCGCCATCCATCAGATTAATGATTCGTAAGGTTCCTGGGTGGAGAAGGATGAGGACATAGCAAACGAAGCGATTGCATTCTTCTCAGACTTATTTTCTGAACCTATTGGTCCTGTACTGGATATGCTGCCCTTGATTCCCCCTTTGATCACGGAGAAGGAGAATAAGACCTTGGAGGAAGTCCCATCCATAGAGGAGGTTCGTCGAGTGGTCTTTGCAATGGACGGAGAGAGTGCTCCGGGACCGGATGGATTAATGGGTAAGTTCTTCACGTTCTCTTGGGATGTCATTGCTCAAGATGTCTATAATGTGGTACTGAGCTTTTTCTGTAGGGTTGAGTTGCCTAAATTTATTACCTTCACTTCCATTGTACTTATCCCTAAAGTGCCAAATCCCTAGGATTTCTCGATGTTTAGGCCGATTAGTCTTTGTAATTTTTTTAATAAGCTGCTATCCAGAATTTTGGCCGACAAGTTGTTATCGATTTTGCCAAATATTATCTCTCCCCAGCAGACAGGTTTTGTTAAGAGGCGAAATATCACGAAAAACTATCAGCTGGCCCAAGAAGTGCTGTCGGGTATTGGCAAGCCCTCGAGAACAGGTAATGTCGCGCTAAAATTAGACATTTAAGGCATACGATAGGGTGTCCTGGCTTCATATTGTTAGTGTGTTACGGTGGTTTGGATTTGGAGAGCAATTCATTGACAGGGTTTGGCGCTTGCTTTCTAATGTGTGGTTCTCAGTCCTAGTCAATGGTGCGTCGCATGGTTTTTTTAATCGGCTAGGGGACTTCGGCAGGGGGATCCTTTATCCCCGGCATTATTTGTCATCGGAGCTGAGGTGCTGTCATAGGGTTTGAATAACCTTACGCTACAATCCGATTTTGTGGGATTTCGTGTTCCACACGGGTGTCCTCCTATCACTCATTTGGCTTTTGCTGATGATGTAATCATCTTTGCGAATGGCTCGTCTAACTCATTGAAGCATATTATGCGGGTGCTGGAGTTATATCATCAATCCTCGGGGCAGTTGGTTAACGCTCAAAAGAGTGGATATTTAGTTCATCCGTCACTGCCTCCGTCTCGACGAAGGATGATTGAGCGGATCACGTAGTTTGCCAGGCAGTCTTTTCCATTTCGCTACTTGGGGTCTCCCTGTACCTAGGTCGGTGTAAATCTTTGTATTTTGGGGCAGTAAGCCAAGCTATCTTGGGAAGGGTGTTGTCGTGGAAGTCAAGGTTTCTCTCTCCAGGCGAGAAATTGATCCTTATCAAGCATGTCCTTGCCTCTGTTCCCGTCCATTTGCTCTAAGCTGTTGTGGTGCCTAGCTCGGTATTCACGATGATAGAAAAGGTGTGTGCTAATTTTCTACGGGGATCAATGGCTGAGAAAACAAAGTTCCATTGGATACGATGGTCTCAACTGTGCTACCCGATGGAAGAGGGTGGGGCAAGATTTCGAAGACTCCAAGATGTCTACAGAGCCTTTTCGTGCAAGTTATGGTGGAGGTTTCGGACTGGAGATTCACTTTGGGTGACTCTTATGCACACTAAATACTGTAGGGAAGAGCATCCTTGTCAAGTGCCGCTCAGTTTATCTGCTACGGCTATTTGGAGACGAATGTGAAATGTTAGTCGACAGGTGGAGCTGTCAATGTTATGGCAAGTTAATGGGGGCTCCTGTCACTTCTGGTACGATTGGATAGGCAGTGGTGCTTTATTTCTCAGATCGCCAGTCATCCCGGACCTCACTTTTGGGGACTTTGTCACAAATGGAAACTGGAATATCCAGTTGCTATCTCAGGCCTTACCACTGGGCATCATCTCCTCAATCTTACAGCAACCGATACCTCAAGGTAGTCGTGTAGATAAGGCTGTGTAGATGCCGACAACATCTGGGAAATTCACGCTAGCGTCGAATTTTGGTGAGGTTCGTCAAGCCCGCTACACTTCTGCTGTTTTATCACAGGTATGGCACCCTCAGATACCATTGAAGGTGTCCTTCTTCATGTTACGGCTATTGATAGGAAGGCTGCCGATGGCGCATACGCTATGTCAGATTGGTTTTCAAATGCCGTCGAAGTGTCTTTGTTGTCGGAGCCCATCTTGTGAATCTATTGAACATGTGTTTGCGTTGGGACAGGTCGCCATGGAGGTCTGGGGATATTTTGGGGGTGTGTGTGGAGTGACTGGTACAGGGTCCTTACTGCGCGCTCGAATGGGTGCGTGGTGGTTTGTTGGGCAGAAAGCGGCGAGGAGGCGTTTTTTGTTCACAACTCTCCCTAGTCTCATTTGCTGGCATATCTGGAAGGCTAGGAATAAAGCCGTTTTTGAAGGCAAACCAATGCAGTCGGCAGTTATTGTTCAGGCAGTATTCGGGGAAGTTAAGATGCTGGTTGACGATTCAGTTTAAGGGTAGGTTGGGGTCATACATTTCAACAGTTATATGATTGGTACTCTCATCCAGCTCGCGCGTTTGTATTCCAGTTGATACTTTGGATAGTGCGGAGGTCGGATGCTAACGCTGAATACGGACGGGTGCTCAAAAGGCAATCCGGGTCCGGGCGGTGTGCTGGAGTCCTGCGTGATTCATCAGGAAGCCCTCAATTTGCTTTTTCGGCTTTTTTGGGGGATACATCCAGTTTATGTGCGGAGACTATGGCCCTTTTGCTTGGGCTTCGCGAATGTGCTCAGAGGTAGTTTGGTAATGTGAGCATCCAGTTAGATTCCTTGGTCTTGGTGGGGATTCTGCGGAAGCAATTTCAGCGTCCTTGGCATATCCGGAGGGAGGTGTGGCAGATTTGGCAGTTGCTGGGAGTCCCCTCGGATAGTTCATTACTACAAGGAGGCGAACAAGGTTGCGGATATTTTATCTAATATGGGAGTTGCTTACCCTGAGCAGCAGGTTAGGGTTTATGATTGATAGGGATATAATTATGCATTTTATTTGTGGTTATTTGGTCTTAATTTTGGCAGTTTATTATGCAAAGTATTGGATTTCTGCTCATAATGGGTATTTGTGTTACTTATAGGCAATTGGTGTTAAAAGTGATAAAAAAGGGCAAATTCCAGAAGACTGTGCCTTCTCTGGCGTGCCCACGCCAGACAACGCAGAGTTGCGTGAAAAAGCCGGATTGCGGGTCCTATTCCTGGGGCCACCGCCTTTCCTTGGAGCCATACTTTAAACTTACGTGGGATTAGGAAATAGAATTGGAAGATGACTTTTGGTAACAATCCAATGGGGGAAAAGGAAGCAAATTTTTGAAGAAACCCACCTATTATTTCGGCTAGCAAAAAGGAAACGGCGGCGCAAACAATAAAAAGAAGACAGCAATAGACTAGGGGGATCTTCGTCTTGGACTTTTTTTTTCTGCTTTTGCTTTATCATTCCTGTGGCCTTTTCACTGCGTCTTTCATTCAGCAAAAACTCCATGAAAACTCCGAATTGCTTCATCGTTATGTGGCAAGGCTAATTCTTTTATCTAGTTGAGGAATAAATCAAGGATCGGGCACCATAACTGTGAGATCGTTTTAATTGTTTTATTTTTAATTTATATGTTCATGGGTATTTGATTATTCTCTATTTTTCCCTGAGTTATTATTGTTTAGATTTATTGGATAATTAGGCCTGTTATTCGATTGTCTAAATAATTGATAGCCAATTAGGATGTTGGCGCGTCGCCTTTAAGCATCTTGATTAGTGGCAAACGAGACAATTTCACCGCCTCGCAAGCGGTCTAATTTGGATCGTGGGGATAATTAATCTAGCCTAAATAAACCCGCATGTGTGTTTGTCATCTAGAATTGGGTCTTTCTAATTCCTAATGCTGTGGCTACATTAAATCCTGTGAGCGTTTCTGGGTTGTCTAGTCACAAGAGGGTAGTTTATGAGCGTCTCTTGACTACCATAAAATTAAGGAAAGATTGGTGGTTGGGCGCGTCGCTTGACCACTATAACCAGTTTATTCGTGAGTATATGAATTGTCCCTTGTATCTGTGATCAGTTGTGTGCTTCGGTGCCAAGATTAATTCCTTGACTAGGTTGTTTTAATTAATTGTTATTTGTGTAATTTGGTTCCTGCTATCTTACTCAACTTTAAATTTCAGTTTTTATTCCTTTTTAATTAGTTGGTACTACTGCTAAAAATCCCCCCATTTTCCTGTGTGATTTGCCTACCTGTTCCCTGAGGAGACGACCCTACTTCACCTATACTCATTCAGTTTTGGTAGTAGGTCTTATAAATTTTATTTTTGGTGGTTTGACACCCACCAAATTTTGGCGCCGTTGCCGGGGAACTGGTGTTTTAAGTGACTTATTGCACAGGCTTTTAGTTTTTATTTTTATTTATTTTTTTTTTTTATTTTATGCCTCGATCTTCTCGTACAGGAGAATTAGAATTTGATCCAGAGATCGAGAAGACTGCAAGAAGGTTGACCAAGGAGGCAAAGTTGCGTAAGCAACAAGATTCAACGTCACCTTCAGAATCTAAGCAAGAGTTTGTTTCCAGTGATTCATCAAGTGAATCTGAAAAAAAAAGTGCATATTCCCCGAGTAGCAATGGCAGCCCCAAAACTTTGAGGGAGTTGGCAACTCCTAACGTGAACCAACAGCCATTATGCATTACATTTCCTAACACGGAAGAGGCATTTGAGCTTAAATCTGGTCTTATTCACTTACTTCCTACTTTTCGTGGTATTGCAAAGACCCACATAAACACTTGAAGGAATTTCATGTGGTGTGCTCCACAATGAAACCTCAAGGAGTCACTGAGGACCACATCAAGTTGAGAGCCTTCCCTTTCTCTTTGGCAGATAAGGCTAAAGATTGGTTATTTTACCTGCCATCTGGATCCATCACTACGTGGGAAGAATTGAAGAGAAGATTCCTCGAGAAATTTTTCCCTGCCTCTAGAGCCGCCAATATAAGGAAAGAAATATGTGGAGTTAGGCAGGCAATGGGAAATTCTATATGAGTACTGGGAGCGCTTTAAACAACTGTGTGCCAGCTGCCCACATCATCAAATCCCTGACAGCTCTTAATACAATATTTCTACGAGGGATTATCACCCATGGATAGGAGCATGTTAGATGCAGCCAGTGGCGGTGCTCTGGTTAACAAGACCACAGACGAAGCCACGTTATTGATCTCCACCATGGCTGAAAATTCCCAACAATTTGGAGTGAGAGCTGATGGAGCAATAAGAAGGGTCAATGAAGTGAATCACTCTGACTTAGAGGGTAAACTATCTGAGCTTACCTCTCTGGTACGTCAAATGGCAAGGGGCAATTACAATCTGTGAAGACTTGTGGTATCTGTGCTGCTCCCGGACACATGACTGACATGTGCCCAACTCTCCAGGAGGATTCACCTGAACAAGCCAACATAGTGGGAGATTTTTCTGGACCACCTCCACGAAGGAATGATCCTTTTGCACCCACTTACAACCAGGGTGGCGAAATCATCCTAACTTTAGCTATGCTTCAAAACCCCTGGCTTTCAACAACATTTCCAGCCACGGCCACCAGTGCAACAACCATCCACTTCCAATTCAAACATGTCTCTTGAAGATATGGTGAAGTCACTGGCCCAAAGCACGAGTCAATTACAGCAAGAGGCTCAAAGATCTCAACAGGAGTCTCACAGATTTCAACAAGAGACTCGTGCTAGCATTAGGAATTTGGAAGCACAGATGTCCAATTGGCAACTTCCATGAGCAACCTGGAAAATAGCAATAGAGGAAATTACCATCTCAAGTAATTCCTAATCCCAAGGAGAATGCCAGTGCAATGCAATTACGGAGTGGCAAGGAGGTACAGTCTCCTAGGCGTGCCCACGCCAAAGAAGAAGAAGTGCCCAGGAAGGTGGAAGAGGAAGATGAGAAACAATCCTCTGAAGTCTCAAAGAAAGTTGACATTCCTCCTCCTTTTCCTGGCAGGTTTACAAAGCTAAAAAGGAAGAATCTGAGAAGAGATTTTGGACACCTTCAGGAAAGTGGAGATCAATATTCCTTTGGATGCTATTAGGCAATTGCCTAAATATGCTAAATTTTTGAAGGGCTTATGCACTAATCGCAATAAGTTGAGTCTGGATGACAAGGTGAAGGTGGGGGAGAATGTCTCAGCGATGTTTCAAAGGAAGTTGCCCCAGAAATGCAAGGATCCAGGTATGTTTACTATACCATGCATAATTGGCAATCAAAGAATTGAAAAAAGCATGCTTGACTTAGGTGCTTCAATAAATGTCATGCCTCTTTCAATTTTTAAAGTTTTGAATTTAGGACCCCTCAAAGAAACTAGGGTAATCATTCAACTAGCTGATAGGTCGAATGTCTACCCTGAGGGCCTAGTTGAAGATGTTCTAGTAAAGGTCAATGAATTCATTTTTCCTGTGGATTTTTACATTGTTGATATGAATGATGAATACTCTACTGATTCAGCAGTGATTCTTTTGGGTAGACCCTTCATGAGTACAGCAAGGACTAAAATAGATGTACATGAAGGACTTTATCTGTGGAATTTGATGGAGAGAAGGTCACTTTCAATATTTTTGATGCAATGAAGCATCCTGTGGATACTGAGTCTGTAAATTTTGTTGGCATGACTAACACCATTGTGCAAGAGAATTTTGAACAGAATTTCATGGGGACAAGTTGGACTTTGTCTTACAACAAGGCAAGACCAATTTGGAAGTGGACGACATGGAGGAGGAGGAAGTCAAAGAAGCTATCATGTCCTTACATTCACTACATCCGCTTCCAGGCAGGTTTGAAAATTCTTTTCTACCATTACCCACTTCTAATGAAAGAATTCTACCTTCTGTTCAACAGGCACCTAATGTGGAATTGAAGGAACTGCCCGAGCATTTGAAATATGCTTACTTGG